AGAGAGGAAGCGGGAGCCTGCCAAAGTAATCTTCCAGCCGTCAGGGCAGCATCCAGGCAAACCGCTCGTACAGTCGCAGTGCTGCTGTAGCAGGAAGAAGCCGAAGCCACGATTGGAGAAGTCTGGTCTGAGGCACGTCTTCTTGGTGACGTCGAAAATCTCCACGCCGCGCTTAATGGCTTCTATGGTGCGGATCTTGGAGGCCTCGAACGCCTCGTCAAGTTCAGGAGTCCAGACAAACTTCTGCTTTGGACTGAGATAGGTGTGGAACGGTGCCATGACGTCGCGTAGTTGGGCGTAGTTGGCTATCTAATTTACAAGGCCGAACCAGCTCCTGATGTCAGTCGTGGAGGATGGTTTCGGGTAATGGCTGATAGCGTCGATGTACTTGGGGAACGGTTTGATGGATGACTCGGAGATGCAAAACCCTGCAGGATAGGGCGTTCTCCTAATAATAAACACAGGTGTAGTGAAAACAATTTATTACATAAATCTATGCTGAGATACCCCCCAACCATATTAAATGCATATTCATCACAAAATATAATCACTCTGGTGAGATATTGCGCGTGCGCTAACACACTAACGTAACCATATTGTGTACTGACTGTTATATGCAGCGGGCACCTTACATGTTACATGCAATGTCTACTTCCCATTTCGTAAGAGAGGTCTACTGGTGGGATGTTATTATATAAATCTATGCTAGAATACCTCTTCCTCATTTTAAATGCATATTTTTTGCAAAATATTATTCCTCTCTGGACATATTACGCATGCGCGAAGAACGTCTTGGGCGTACAGTACAGACTTAAAAGACTGCATAATATAGCTTGCTGAGAGCGAGGGGTGGGAGCCTGAGGAAAGGCGGCAGGGAAGAGAGCAGATGGCCAGTAGAAGAAGACGGAGGCTGGGCGGGAGACAAGGGAGGCAAAAGAAAGGACGGGAGGGGATGACGTAGATGTTTTGCACCCTACAGCCTAGGGCGGTCTCCTAATTATGACCACATGTCTATGGATAACAATTTATTACATAAATCTATGCTGAGATACCCCCTAACCGCATTAAATGCATATTCATCAAAAAGTACAACTCCTCTGGTGAGATATTGAGCATGCGCTAACACACTAACGTAGCCAGATTGTACACTGACTGGTACATGCTGCGGGAACCATACATGAAAGGTCTTCTTCCTAGTATTTCCTAATTGAGGTATAATGATGGAATGTTATCGTATAATCCGATGCTACCATAACTCCTCTTCATTTTAAATGCATAATGTTTACAAAATATTATTCTTCTCGGGAGATATTGCGCATGCGCGAGCACCGTTTTGGGCGTACTGTTCAGACTGAAGAAAACTGCATAATACAGCTTGCTGAGAGCGAGGGTATGAATCCTGAAGAAAGGCGGCAGGGAAGATAGCGGATGGCCGGTAGAAGAAGGCGGAGGCTAGGCGAGAGACAAGGGAGGCAACAGAAAGGATGGGAGGGGATGAAGTAGATGATTTGCACCCTACAGCCTAGGGCGCTTTCCCAATTATAAACGCAAGTTTAGGGGAGACCGGGGACAATTGTAACACTTTTTTCCAAATCTGACATAACAACTTTATTATAGTTAAATACTTACTTCAAGGTATATGAAATTAAAGATGCATATCTTGGCTTGAAATATGACTAGGTTAGGGTTAAGTAAAACAAGTTATTTTGAAGCCATTATCATTTCAAAACTGGAAGTCAAGTGTTACAATTGCCCCACAACACGGGGCAATTGTAACACACCAATGGGGCAATTGTAACACATACAATTGTACCAACAAATCATATATCCCTCAGAAATATTTTTTATATTTTTTATAAAGGTGACACGTTGAACAGATTTTCAACAATTAAACAGCAATTTATAGAACCACAATAAAATAATTTTAATAAAAACTATGACGAATGCTTCACTCATTTACATATAAATAAAATATATAAATAGACTACTTATTGCCTTGTGAACAAAACATATTTACAGACCCATTAATTCAAAGTTATGTAGTTCTCATGTCTGAGCTCATAGATAGGCTACTTTTTTGCCTTATAAAGAAAACACATTTTGTAAAACACATACTTTTTATACATGCCAAGGGGCAATTGTAACACGTTGTTACATTTGCCCCGAGGAGACGGCCATAATTTGGGGGCTGTTTTTGTATCTTAGCATTAGTATTCGTCAATGAAACCTTTATCAAATACAGGCCTAAAAACCTATTTTTTTATGATATACAAATGACAGTGGTAGCTCAAGTACATATTTGTCCAGAAAAAAAACATTAGGTAATTCGAGATTTTACTTACCTGCTAAAAAAGCGATGTTTTGGCTGTCAAATGTTCCTCGATGCGTAAACCTACCTACCCTCAGGACAGCATGTGGGGCAATGAAATGTGCATGCGCTGTGAAGAGCGTATATATATAGCACGTTTCTACTAGGAATGAGGGCCTCTGTTACATTTGCCCCGTGTTACAATTAATTGTCCCCGGTCTCCCCTACTGATAACAATTTATTGCATAAATCTATGCTGATATACCCCCTAACCATATTAAATGCATATTCGTCACAAAATATAATTCCTATGGTTAGAGATTACGCATGCGCTAACAAATACTAACGTAGCCAGATTGTGTACTGACTGTTATATGCAGCGGGCACTTTACATGCAAGGTCTACTTCCCATTTCGTAAGAGCAGTCTACTGATGGGTTGTTCTCATATAAATCTATGCTAGAATACCTCCTCTTCGTTTGAAATGCATAATCTTCGCAAAATATTCTTCTTCTCTGGAGATATTACGCATGCGCGAGTACCGTATTAGACGTGCAGTACGAGTTAAGGAAAAATACATAACATATATTGCTGAGGTAGAGAGGCGTAGAAGGCTGAGCAAAGATAGCAGGGAAGATAGTTGATGGCCGGTAGAAGAAGACGTAGCCTGGGCGAGTGACCAGGGAGCCAAAAGAAAGGACGGGATGGGATGAAGTATGAGTTTTGCACCCTGCAGGCTAGGGCGCTCTCATAATTATAAACACAGGCCTACTGATAACAATTTATTACATACATCTATGCTTAGATACCCCCTAACCATATTAAATGCATATTCGTCACAAAATATAATTCCTATGGTTAGAGATTACGCATGCGCTAACACAATAACGTAGCCAGGTTGAGTACTGACTGGTATATGCAGCGGAGACCTTACATGCAAGGTCTTCTTCCTATTTCGTAAGCGAGGTCTACTGATGGGATGTTATCATATAAATCTATGCTAAAATACCTCTTCTTCATTTTAAATGCATATTTTTTGCAGAATATTATTCCTCTCTGGACATATTACGCATGCGCGAGGAACGTCTTAGGCGCACAGTACAGATTAAAAAAAAACTCCATAATATAAGCGGCGTCTACACTATAGACTAAAACCCGGGTTAAAACGCGCGTTTCCGGTGGTGCAGTGTCTACACTATAGACTAAAACCCGCGTTTTAGTAAAACGCGCGTTTTCGGCGGTGCAGCGTCTGCACTGTCAAAAACCCACCTTCCGTGAATGCCGGGTTTTAAGTATTTCGGTTGTATCAAGCATATCCCCGGTATGGTTGCGCCACCTGTAGCCGAGTCTGGCGTGCAGCTAAAACGCGGGTTTTCTGTCATGTTCTGTCTACACTACGGCGCTCGACTAAAACGCAGGTTTTAGCAGAGCAAAACCCGGCAATATTGCCGGGTCTGTAAAACCCGCGTTTTTACAAAACCCACTTCTAAAACCCGGGTTTTAGCATAGTGTAGACGCCGCTATAGCTTGCTGAGAGCGAGGAGTGGGAGCCTGAGAAAAGCCGGCAGGGAAGATAGCTGAGGGGCGATAGAAGAAAGAGGCTGAGCGAGGATGCGATCCCATATGGTTAGGGGGTATCTCAACATTAGAACTGGATTAGAAAATCTAATGAGTGACATAAAAGCGGTAAATAACGACACATAAGTAAATATGGTAACTTTGTAGCTCAACTGCGTTTATTAATTTAAAGCAATCGTTTACAACAACGATACAAGATGGCGCCCATGAAGACGTCCCAGACGATCCCAATTATAATTTTTTTTAATAATAATAATAATAATAAAGACACATGATCGTTTAAAAAATGTAGTATACTTTATAATATCAAGTATATTAATCTCTTAGATAACATCACACGCCTCAATGGACCAATCCCCCAACGTTGTTCATGGACTGAAGTCCTCGCTAGGATTCATGTTGTGTACACATGATGTTTGTACGGCTGCTTTCATCCCACCATCAGTAATAATGTATAAGAAAGTTTCGCTCTGATCTACTGAATTCCAACATCATTCACATAAATAATTTATTAAATATTATCATGATCTGCTAATCATCTTCGAGCATTCGTCAATATCACATTCGTTACTATCGTTAAACATTTGCAATATTCGTAGTATTATTACATTCGTACAGAGGTAAAACTTAATAACGACTACGAAAAGCTATGCAAGTTTTATTGATAGTCACTTTATTAGTTGTTGACTTTCTAATTCATAGCTGACTCGTTTGATCCACTTTCCTGGCGAGTGCCAAGGAAGAATTATATACAATGTAATGATACGTTTGTGAAGATGCCTGTTTTATTTATACAATAATATAGTTTAAACTCGCTCATAACGTGTTTATTATAGGT